TGGAATTAATCATGACATTTGACATTGTTTGCAAAGCTTTTTCACTCCTTCAGTTCTGCGCCATTAATGGGTTTCTTTGTTGAACATAGGTGGGTATCCCTGCTATCGGCTTCTCCCCAATGAACCGGACTCCAATCCTGCTGCACGATCACAACGAGTTTCTGAATGAGAAAGTCTTCCTGAAAGGCATCAGCGTGTTCGAGAGGCTCATCTCTGCTCTTGCCAGTGTTCCTGCCTTCCCTGATGAGGCTTAGACAAGTCTTGATTTGAATCCTGTCTAAAAACGTATTTCACTTAGGGTATTAATATTTAACTTGAAACTTGAACGTTTTTGAAGAGATTACCAAAGAATAATAACACGTATCATTTAGCCAAACTGAGCACTTCCAGCCTTTGGTACTTTTATTTTTTTATTTTGTGATTCTCAGGATAAAGGCACGATAAGGTTTGCATTTTACTTTTGACAACTTACTTGCCTGTGTGTACACAGTCTAAAAGATGTATCACCCATTGTGAAAGCAATGTTCTCATTTACTATGGAAAATGAACGAACTGAAATGTGATGACGACTTTGATTGATTTACACTTTGATCAAATGTCAATTAATTGCCACTTTTCTCATTGAGCCTGATTTTGAAACTATTATTCCACAGATATAACTTTATTTAATAAACTGAAATTGAATAAATATATTTGTTCATTACTCTCATGCTTGTAGTTTCTTGTACAAATATTAGGGATCCGTATCTGATGCCACACTGACATGCACATTTATAATACTAATAAATAAGTACTGTAAATGCAGGCTTTGTTATATAGAGGAAGATTTCTGAGTGCATTTTAAAAAGGCATTTTACCTTCAAACAACCACGTCTGCTTCAAGGACAGACAAAAACATTGACCATTCCTACATCAGAAAACATTTCTGAACATCAAGCGGCTTCTCGAAGAATGATGGGAATGTGTGCATGGCAGAGTGTGTGCATGTAGACGGGCAGCTCGACTAAGTCCGCCCAATCATTTTATTTGAACAAAACAACTTGACCAACCTATTACAGTCCTTCAACAGCCACAGATACCATTGTTTTTGTTAGTTTTTTTGTCAGTGATGTATTGTTTTCTGTTGGTGTTAAGAGTATTTAAAAACAATCTAAATACATTATTCTAAAGTACATTACCCACCTTACCTTTTAATGCAGTCAAATATCTAACATACTGTAAGGTAGAATGATATGCTTCAGCCAAGATAAACCAATGTATACAGAAAATACCCTTAACAAGAAAAGTGATTTGCATTTATTTAATAGAACTTGCTTTCAACTATGTACATCAAATGAATGGGTGTTAATAACGATGTTATTTTATGTAGGTACAATAGGGGAAATTAAAAATGCTGTTTACATGAGGCAAAGGTCAATCTCATCTACAGTTCAGCTCCCGTTGGAGTTGTCGTCCAATTAACAGTGTATGGCTCACCAAGGGGGACTGGCAGGAAGACTGTGCAGTCAGTAATTAGTCTTCTCTCTCCCCAGGACATGACAGCAGTATTAGCACATGGGCCATCAGGGAGACGACTAAAAGCTGAACTCACATCCTTCCTCCCAGAGGGGGCAGGAATAGGTGCACTCATCCTGTCCATCTCAATGCCTTGCTGCGGAAAAACAAAGGGGCTGTTTTACAGTTCCACATCTCACTGTTTTAAAGGGATTTTCGAGGATTTGGTACTGCAGAGGCATATTGAATGTAAATCTCTGAAAGTTATTTGTGGTTTCAGGCCAAAGTAATGCATATGTATTTCTCATGATATAAAAAATACTTGACAGTTGCTTCCTCTTCCTCTCGTTCCCACGGTCAGCGGTCAGGATCAGACTCAATAACAGAGACTGAGGCGAGTTGGCTGAGGATCAGGTCCTGGTCAAGGAGCTTAAACATATGGAGAGATTTAGCAGACTCCTGCTTTCCCTCTCATACAGCCTCCTGTGCTCTTATCAGCATCAATATTGTATGGCTCTAACCTCTGCTATATGGAAATGAGAAGGGAGGAAACCATTCCGGGGGGAGATAAATTACATTTTCTTTACACGACTGTTAAAGGAAACACGTCACCATATTTAAATTCAGGAAAATGTGTGAATCCACAAAATCAATCTCCATCTTGCTGTCCTTACAGCAGCTTTATTTTACATTCAACATCACAGTGTGGAGTCTCAGCTCTCTGGTTTTCTTGCTCCTGGGCAGAGCTGTTTATATTCACAGATGCTGCAGTGTATGAGGGAACATACATTCTGTAAATCTTCCAGCTGAATGGCATTTCTCTCTGCTGTGCTCTCCTGCTGCACAGCTGAAATATTCTCCCTTGAGTGGAAATAAATTAATTGCAGTCTGTCAGAGATTGCAGTTCCAGTACTCTTAATGTGGTTGATGCGTTTTGTTGGCATGTTACACTATCATTTTAGTTTGTTCTTAGCACATCATCTGAAAGTCTACTGAAAGAAAATAGAAGGGTTTGAGGATTAGATCTAAATTAAAGAGAGCATTTGGTGAAGGATTCTCATTTACAAGTAAAAACGCTCCTGACCAACATTTGAAGCCCTTGAGGAATCACAATACAATGTATTCACAATGTTAGATAGGTTGTTACTTGTAAGGCTAAATTATTAGATAACTGTACATTGTTGAAAGCTACTTTTGAACAGTGTACACCAGGAGTACTAATAATAGCCTAATGAAATAATAAAATAGAACATTAGTTTACTTCAAACTTAAACTGGTTATAAAATAATCAAAACTGAATCATTATTTTATCGCCTCCAAGCCACTAATGAAATTACTTGCATTTTCACATTCACACACATTTTAATATTCAACTGCCCTGTTTACCACATGTTTTATTTGTGTACAATATCCAAATTTCAATCCGTTTTTCAAAAGAATGCTGTAGGATCGACAGATCCTTTACAGCCGTTAGGTGAGTTGACCATTTTTCTATTAAGAATGAAAATAAAAGTATTCACAATGTGGATTTTCAAATGGAACGTTGAATTTAAATAAGGTGACAGTGACAGAGTATAAGGATAGCCTCAAAATACACTCAGGTTTTTCTTATTTAAAAAAAACCCCAAATGTCAGGTGTTTTTACACACACCATAGATGGCCTCATGTCAACAAAGCAAGTTGAGGAATCCGGCTGAGGTTTTCATCATATTGAGGTTTTTCATTGACTTATTTCTATGCTCAGTTTGTGCTTTTCCTAGACAGAAATCTCATTTTGTGCAGCTTTCAGAGTCCCTGCATTAATATGCATTAGCCGTAGACTTGAGTGATATTATGATAAATAGGCTATATTCAACTGAATGTTGTCGGCCGTTGCAATTGCTTGAATCTGCATTCTGCACTGACGTTTAATGTAAACAGGATGGACATCAGAGACATACCTAAAAATGTCTTATTAGAATATAAATGATATCAACAGACTTAACTTAACATTAGCAATGCCTTTGTTCCATTTAGTATACAGCCCACCTGTTCAACACCAGTTCAGAGGCACTTTCATCATTAAAGGTAATGCAGGCTGTCTTTTAGCTATAATTTATTTTTAAATGACAAAGAGTTAAAGAACACATATTATTATTATTAATATTCAAATGTATAAATGTCACAATGTTATATTTTTTTTAAGCTCGGTTGGATGCTACTCAATCGGAAGCTGTTGGTACCTATTCATATGGATAGTTATGTAAATTGTAAATCCCTGTAATGATGCTGTATGATGTCCTTTTTGTTGTTCTGTTTATGTTTTTATGTTTCATGTGGAACCTACTTGAGCAGGTCCCCCTTGAAAAGAGATCAATGATCTCAATGGGATACACCTGGATAAATAAAGGTTTGAAATGAAATGACATTTTTACGGTTATCAGCACTTGAGTTTTCTATGTATTTATCTCCATACATTTTTAACTCTCTTTGAATTATGTAACAGAATATATAATGTATTTATATGTTAAAATGCAAAAAGGTTGTTGTGTGCACATCCCATTCTATATTTAGGCCAGAAGCAAGCTAACATATTCCTCTGCACACTCCCAGAACCACACATGTGGCGAAAATAAATTCATATTTAATTATACTTTTTACCTTAAATATCCACCATTTTTACATCAGGGTCTCTTAGTGGCACATGGAGGAATAACCTGTAAGGTTATCGCATTTTGTATAAACCTGTTTCCTCCTCCCATTTAGAACAATGCAAATAGCAGACTATATATAGCAGCTTCATAGCAGACGGGTTGACATGTCATTGTAGCAGAAGCTCAAATGTAACATTAACGATGACTGCATTCGGTTTTAGATGTCCCATGGACACGCTGTAATGCATACTGCCTCAATAATGTTATAAGTTATACTTGTGTTTCTCCAGCTATGCCATGTCAAAAGCTCTGCTGTGAAAAAAGGCCAATAAGATTCCTCAAATTCATACGGCTCATACTAATTATATACACGTTTTAAACAAATTGTCCTGTGTTACTGTAATCTTTTCAAATCAGTAACAACCTATATAAGCCAAATGAAATGGCCAAAACCAGATGACTTGGACTGGACATGTGACATCTGGGGCCCTGTGTGAAGCATTGAATGGGAACAGCAGTTAAACACTTTCTTCATTATGTTGCATTCAGGGACCTTAAACTGTTGCATCCCACAGGCCAAACCTACTCCTTCAAGTCGGTCAGCCTTATTTTACAATTATTTGGCATCATATCCCCGTTTTATGTATTTTCTTAACCTTCAATACACAGTAACACTACCCCAAACTGAAGAACAGCGTTCAGTATCGAATAAAAACTAAATGTATGCCGACGACAAATCCCCATGGATGTATAATGCAAATCCCACGTGGCCATGCAGAGATAAATAAAACCAGATTCTGCTTCTGCTCCCTGTTGCCTGGTGAGCGTGAACGCGCATTGACGCGCTGCTGCTGATGAGAGAGAGAGCTGTCGTGCCCGCCCCGGTCTGTGTGTTGGTGTTGGTGGTGTTGGTGGTGGTGTATATGTGGGAGCAGGAGAGACTCTGCAGTGTCTTGGCAGCTGCGTTCAGTGTATCTCCCACCGACCGCGATGCCTCCGTGGCCAATGCCTGCCTCCTCCTCCGCGTCCACTTGACAACACACACCGATATGAAGTGAAGCTGCGCCGGACACACTATCCTGATATCTATATGCCCCGGAGAGCTTCATTCACCCACAGAAACCCCGTGACGAGAATTGTTAATGGAAAATGGCGATAGGCAAAGGGTCTTGCAGCATCGTCTGCTTGGTATCTATCCAGATTATCTTGATTTTCAGCGCGTCGTGGCCTGGAGCAGCGGGTCTCACATTCCCCCAGCAATACACGTAAGTGATGGGCTCTCCCTGATGGAAAACATACCGGGCTTTCTTGGTGGGGATGGGAGACAACTTTGGGCTTGTCCACTTAGCTGTGGTTTAAGATATACTTAAGTGATACTGTTTGATTTTCTGCTCTTATATAATATTACAGTGTTGGCGATCTCATCAATGTAAAACTGGGTTTGGATGCTCAGTTCTGTGGAAGGTGTAGTCCACAGTGTAACATGGGAATATATGTCTATTCGGATCATTTACATGGCTATATTTATATATGGACAATCACATTTCAGTGTTTCAGTTAAACAGAAGTCCTCATTAATGCTTTTTTGATAATCAAGTTGGCCTTTATATCAGATAACATTTTGTATTAAAACTATATTTTAGCCTCTCTTTTAACCTCTTATGACCTTTAGTCTTACATTTTTATAATGTGAACCATAATAGCTATATATGTTATGGCATATTGCAGAAAATCAGATGATGTTTATTTAATGCAACATTAATCATATACTCATATTTTTTTTAAGCTGTTATTGAAAGGATGGAGAGAGGTTTTCACTTGTATTTTTACTTCAAAGTAATGTCAGTGAAGTTCTATGTAAGTCAGGTCATGCAGGGGTTTTATTGGTTAAAGCATTCAGAGACTCTTACTTGAAAGGAAACATTAAGTGTGTGCAGTTGTTTTGAAACTAAAAATGGCTTTTTTCAGCCTCCCCCTGCTGCTCTCTGTGCACCAGTACTAGATTTTTCCATGCAGGTTTTCAAGTTTCTTTATTTTACGAAACACTTGCCTCTTGCAACCCCCTTAGAATAGCAACAGTGTTGTATTATCTCACAGCATGTTCAGTTGTACAGTTGTATGTTGTAAGGAAGAAGAAATGTGACGTTTAACTGTAAATTCCTACTAAAGGCGACTAGATTTTAATCAAGCCCAAGCTTAGCTCTTATTTATCAACCTTTAACCCGTTGCTGTTAAGTACAGCTGGCACTAACTTGGGACTACAGTTATATGGGCCCACCTCCAGGCTCTGCTCTGGAGGGAGGAGCAGGCCAGATGGTCCTCTCTTCTTCGGGGCACACAGTGAGGGATTTCTGGCCAATCACAACTGGAGATCCGAGGTGTATTTACCAATTAGGAAAGGGGTCTATAAATCTAGGTGTGTGTGTGTATATGTGAGTGTTTTATGATGAATTGGGTTATTTCAAGGAGGGTATAGTCGTTGCTTTCTCCACCTCCTCCTCCTTCTCTGTTCTGCTGATTTTTCTGCTGAGTGATATGAAATAGCTACATATCCCTCTGCCCTGGGTCTCTTCATGTAAGCTAAATGAAGCAGTTGCAACGCTGAAGAACAGCATCTCTTTCCAATTAAGAATTAATACTGCAGCAGTGAGGATTTATTCCCCTCGCCCTCTCCCCCTTTACTCCCGCCCCTTCTGTCTTGACTCTGCCCTTACATTACTCTCCTTCTCTGCAGATAGATAGATAGATGGATAGATAATCCAACAAGTGTGACATTTTGGAGAAGCATCCTGCTTCCCGCATGTTTTTGGTTTATTATATGTATACATAGTCAGTGTACTACCCATAGTAGATGACTTTACCTCGGAGAACAAACCAGAAATGTTTATGTTGCCCATACTGGTAAACCTGTCTGAGACTCTAATTATCTCAAACAACCTTACCTAAACAATATGAACTATCGCTTCAACATTAGGAACATTAGTCAGTTCCAGTTCCCTGAGGGGAAAAGGTGGCAAGATTTATTCAACGATATCTACAGTGCAGAGTGTGGACGAAAGACAAAAATGGAGCTGCTCCTCCAGTATTATTGAGTCAAATCGGACAAAGCCTGTCGCGCTCTCTGATCACTGTCAGTATGTGGGACGGCCTTGTTTTTGATATTTGTATTTAATACATTTGAATTATTTTACATTTGCAGCCCAGTTACTCTTGAGCAACACAAATTTAAAAAAAGCATAGTTTATGTTAAGGTTAACATTTGTAAAAACTTAGATAATGTTATATTAACAAAATGATCTTTTAAATGAAATCTGTCAGATCACTTCCAAATCAAGGCATGGATGAATCGTTAGTGAATCCATGATTGATACACTGTACTATATATAGATAGATGGATATAGATAGATAGATAGATAGATAGATAGATAGAGAGATATATAGATAGAGAGATAGATAGATAGATAGAGAGATATATAGATAGAGAGATAGATAGATAGAGAGAGATAGATAGATAGAGAGAGATAGATATAGATAGATAGATATATAGATAGATGGATAGATAGATAGAGATAGATATATAGATAGATAGATCGAGATATAGATAGATAGAGAGATAGATAGATATATAGATAGATGGATAGATAGATAGAGATAGATAGATAGAGAGATAGATAGATATATAGATAGATGTATAGATATATAGATAGAAAGATAGATGGATAGAGATAGATGGATAGATCGAGAGATAGATAGATAGAGAGATAGATAGATATATAGATAGATAGATAGATAGAGATATATATAGATAGAGAGATAGATAGATAGAGAGATAGATAGATATATAGATAGATGGATAGATAGAGAGAGATAGATATATAGATAGATGTATAGATAGATAGATAGAAAGATAGATGGATAAAGATAGATAGATAGAGATAGATAGAGAGATAGATAGCTCTCATACATAAAGCAGTAAAGGCTCCTCTCTGCTTCTTATGCTCCACCTATTGCTCTGCTGCTCCAGCCTCTCCACCTCTCACTCTCTCTGCTGCAAGTGAATATGGGTCACATCACACAGTGCTTCTCTCTGCCTCATCCCAGGGGTGTGTGAGTATAGCAGGTAACAGAGTAGAGTCGAGGCACAAGCGCGCCGTGCTGTTCAGCTGCTTCATCGCAGCTCAGCGAATGTGATACAGAGTTTTCTGATGTCCCACAGGGCTCCGGAGAGGAGAGGAAATGGAGCACACAGAAAAAAAAATGTAGAACTGTGCTTCAGCTGCACTGACTCACACAGTTCAGGCTCTGCAGATCTGCGGGCTACAGTCATGTAACAAACCTGCTTTATTTACACACAATTTAACAACACTTTGTACGTGCAACATCAATTAATTTGTGCTGCAACTATCTTGTTGAATCTGGTCTTTTAAACATGTTTTGGTAACCGAAAACATCCTCTTTTAATTCTTACAATGTCATTAAATTCAAGACCAAGTTCTCACGATGTAACTGAGGCTATCCACCACATCTGCAGACCAACATATAATACTCCATACAATGATGGAAAATAGGTTGGCTGATGCAACAAGAAGCGCTATTCACTTGACATGCTAAAAAATGGTATCATAGAGTCTGATACACATTGTGATAAATATGTAATGAGAACAATCTCACACAGTGTGACATGAACCTACAAGACGGCTGTTGACGCACAGAGTATAGAGACTCTATACAGAAGCAAGAGCAGCATACATCTGTTAAGAATCATGAACGTTTCACTTGCATTTTATATTTTTGGGGTAGGGAGCCTGTGTGCTCTACATTTCTGCTAAAACCCTTTGTTTGTTTCTTTTCTTTTTTTAAATCAATAGTAGAATACCCAAACATGATCTGAAAACATGATGGGAATAGAGAGCAACAGAATATATAAGGTCTTGAAAATATATCCTAAGTGGCTTTTGTGTTGTTGGCTGTAAATGGTTTTATACACATTCTGTGAGAAATACCACATGCTGACTCACAATTGTTCTGCGTAATGTGTTATACTTGGAGATATGTTTCTGTAGCAAAAAAGAAACTGCATCGTTTTCATTTTTATTAACATTTTCATTTGATCAGCAGAGGTGGTCTATGCTAAAGTAATCCCGTTTAATAAGTGCTGTGTTATTCATAGACTCCTTGTCAGACATTCAATCATACAGTATCTTCAGGGGCCCTTTAGAAACTAGTCTTGATTTTGCTGGAATAAAAAACCAAAAAACTTAGGGCTCACCTTTCCACAACACTCCTTTAACTTGGCACTTTTCTATCAGAAAGTCAAGCATGCAAACCATGGGCTGCCCTTCATTCTCATGTTTAGCTTATTTTCAAATCACAAAGCAGGGAAACATACAATATTGAAATATAGGGTCCTCATTGTGAAGAGTGTCTTTCTGTAGATCTGGACAATTGAGTTGGGATTTGTGGCTCGTCCAACTGTAAAAAACAAGACTGATTATGAATCGACCCTCTTACAAGATCAAGGTTGCTTTCTGGGTATTGAGATTTAAGGTAGAAAGCTAAAATAAGTGTCTTGCCCTCCACAACTTCTTCTCTAATCCATTTGGCCGATGAATTAGGGTTGAGCCAGTGAGGTGAGAAAGGTGAACAGAGGGAGGTGAGAATCTTTATTGAAACTGCATTAATCAGTGAGGCTCAGGGTCTTTTGAGGATATGGTGCCAAGTTTTGGGCAAACATGGAGTCTTTTTAGTCTTTTAAATCACATTCTGCATCTTAAGCAATAATGTTTGCCATGGTTAATAGCACGCTTCAACATGGCATTGATGCACTGACTATAAAAGACAGTTATTCTACAGGATGCTGCTTTTGATATGATGTGTTTTTTATGTGTGTGCTACTGTTAGAAGGTTTTTTTATGAGCTCAATGCATTAGAGCCTATATATCATAAAGTATGGGATAAACTATTTTGGGGCTTCCACATTAAAACTATATTAAAACAAGAATACTGAATACTGAATGTAAATATTGCTAAAGCCAGACACCTGTATCAAATCTTAGAATGGAAGAATTACCTTCTCTATGAAGCTTCACGGAAGACATTGATGTGAAAACATTTATGTATACATATATATATATGCTACTTTAATGTGATCCTAAAGTACAACATTTTTGTTTTGTTGTAAAAAATGATATAAAAAGTAAAATATTGAGACATGTTTGGCTCGATTAGTAGCTCTAAACATTGATTTCTCCATGGTCAGTCGCAGCTGAAACGACACTTTTTGTGATCAGTTGGCCAATTGGTTTACATTATGCAGTCTCTAAAAAATGGATTGCCTCTTGTATTAGGGAGCGCTGCTACAGCTGCTATTCTTCCACCTTACAGCCACACCATTAACTTAAAATGTGCACTTTTTATGAGCAGTGATACTAAACCTGTGAAAACAGAGACACATAGTATCTTCTGTGGCTCTGGAGTGAGCTTCCCATAGTCTGAGAAAAATAACCCAGAAGAGTTGACACGAAAAACAACATTGAGAAGTTCACTCTTACTAGCCCTAATTTTGTTTATCTGTAAATAAAAAACAAAAACAACACTCATTTTGGGCCACCCGATAGCTCAGTGGTTACAGCTGGCATCCTGTATGCGGTGTCCGCTGCTTAGTACGTGGGTTTGCATCTGGCTCGACACACTTTTCAGGCAATGTCCTCCCCTCTGTCTTCACCACCATATATTTCAACAAATGCACTCTCTGGCCTAAAAATATCGATTTTAACATTTTTGTGTTGGACCATTTTCTATGGGCTTCACTACTGCTATATGTTGCTTTGTTTCATTGCCATTGGACCTCCGCTGTGTTTAACCAGTGATAATTTAGAGCAGGGCCCGGGCCAAATCCGGCCTGTGACTTCATTTTATGTGACCCACAAGAGCTTGCAAAGAATATAATATGTTTATTATACGGTTACATGCCGATTTATAGAAGCACGTTGCCCATAAACTACATATAGCACAATGCCTCTCAAATTTGACTTTTTTCTCAGAATTTGACTTTTTTTCTTCAAAATATGCATTTTTCTTAGAATTTGACTTTTTCTCAGAATCTGACTTTTTTTTCAAAATGTCACTTTTTTTTAAAAATTGTATTTCTTTTTTTTTGTTGCAGAATTTGGCTTTTCTTTTTAAATCATTTTGTGACATTCTCACTGAAGAGACTTATGAAGTTATTACCCTATCCGATAATAATCCAATGCAGAGGCAATAATGTAATATATATACATATATATAATAAATATGTCGTTTTTCTCATACTGATATTCTGAACAATCTGTGCTGTTGTATTTGCTGTAAAGTGTCTCTACTGTAGGCCATTTTTATTATATGTACAGCACTTTGGCTCGACCAAAAATCGTTTATAAATGTGCTATGTAAATAAAACTTGATTTGATTTGATTTGATTAATATAATACATTATTTTTATATTAAATATTTATATATGTATTTTTATATAGTCTTTTTATTATTGTTATAGTTTTATATATAATAAAACTGGCCCTTTGAGCCCATGATGCTAATGTGGCCCAAGATGAAATTGAGTTTGACACCCCTGATTTAGAGGAAAAGTCCCAAGCTCAGGCACTGGTGACTGGCAGTGACACAGTCCACTTCTCTCCCTGCCTGCTGCACCTCAGTTATTTTTCACCCTGACATTAAACATCTATATAATCTGTTTCCAGTGCTCTTAATTTGGGTCCAAAAACAACCCGATACAGGCATTGTCAAGTATATTCGTAAAGCTTGCAACAGTTTTCCAGAGATTAGTCTCTTTTGTGGTATAATAATCTCTGCAGAAATTCCTCTGCTAATATCTGTTTTCCTGACATTAAACAGATGCTTTTAACCCAAAGCTAACCAAAGATGATGCATTTCAACCACCACCAATGGAATGAAATGGTAATCATTTCCTGTCTCGTATATAGGCCCAGTTTAATGTATTTGTGTTTTGTTTTTTTGCCAACATTTGATATTTACACAGCCAACTCATTAGCATGGGTATATAGGTCAAGTAAGTTATCTGGGGGGTCTCAAAACGTGGGTTGAATTAAATGTCACTTTTTCTGTTTCTCTCTGTTACTTTAATCTAAAAAAAACAATGGTATGTGATCATTGTGGAAAGGATTGTGTCTTTGAAAGATAGGTCCACACACTTTAAACAAGGCCAGTTTAGTTTCCCAGTTTCTTCCAATATCTGTATGTAAAGGAAAAATACACATTTCATGAAAATGCTCAGTGAGCCTTTTTTCCCTCTTTTATCATAATAGAAGCACTGCGTTGGTTTGCGTAGGCAGGCACATGTGCTTTACAGTGCTCCGGTGGTTCTGCCGTTTCTGGTTTGCAGCGGATGGTGGGTGTGATTTCTGTGTTGGAGTTGACATTTAACAGAGGTATTGGTAGGAGTGCTGAAGCAAGGGTCTAAAACCTTTTATCACCCAGTTGTTCTTTCTCGTTCTCATTTTAGACAAAATCTGCTTCTGGCAGTCGTCCACGCAGTGGTTGTTATCAGTGGTGTTTCTGCTGCTGACTTGATTTATTTCCAACAAAACTGCACGGTTTCTCTCTCTAACAAAAACAGCTCATGTTGTTCTTTTATTTTCAAAATAATTTAGTATAACATTGTTGAGACATAAAGAAAATCAATAGGATGAAATGTGGGGAAGCATAGGAAAAACTGCGAGACTTCTACAGTAAAGGATTAGTATCAAGTACGCAGTCCACTGTAGCGGAACTTGTTGTTCAAAGGAAATCTACTGAATGGTTTTCTAGTACTAATCTAAATATTATGCAAAAATATATTGAACCACAACAAAAAATTACTTGAATTTCCATGTCAACCCAGCAAAAATATGTTAAGCATCTTTAAAATGATATTTTTATGATAACAATTGAACCAAGAAAAGTTACTGGTAATGATAAACCTACAGAAAAATCTTCTTGCCTTTCTACCATCAACATGAGGTTCACTATAGCCATGTTCATTGTAAGTTATATATTTTCTCGGCCCCTTTTGTGAATCTTATTAAACAAAGGGTGTCGGTGAGTACGTTTATGTTTTTTTTCCTAGATCTTCACATTATCCAACTTGCTTAATTTCCACTCGTCAAATATCTCTGCTGTGGAGAATTGAGCATTACACATTATCCTGCAATACCTCCAATTTAAAATTGAGCACTGCTCTCATAGCATTGTTTCTGGACGAACCATGCAGCTTTTTCAAAAGAAAAAAAGTTTCAAAAATGTACTTGCCAAGGAGCAAGTGAGAACACAGGGTTGGATACGATGGATTGGATACAAGCACTGTGTAGTTCAAGAAAAAAAGAACACAACCAACATAGTTCTGCAGTTATGTGTTTAAAGAGCATCTTCACAACGCAAGATCCTCATAGCTCAACATCATATTCCTTAGATTCCTGACAATAAGAGACAGTTGCTGCTCGTAATGACTGTCACTGTCTGCATTTTTGTCATTAAATTGCCCCAGTTGTTATACTTATCACTCATACAGTAGATGTTTAGTTTTTCTGCCTCATTAGTTGCTCTATTTTTGGCGGATTTGCCAGGAAATTCAGGTTACATTGAGTGATCTTGGCTGTCGCAGCAGGTTTTTAAGGCTGTTTACGCACTTATATAATTAGGATGTAGCAAATTGTATGTTTCCTTGCTCCACAAATATCCTTTCACAGAATTATGATGATGAGTCAACAAAGCTGATTAGGTAGCAATATTAACATTAACAAGGCTTACTCCCATCAACAGCCATTTGTCTAATCTTCTTTTCTTTTCTTGTCGTTTAAAGAAGCCCTGAATTGGCGTGATTAGTGTTTTCCTCTCCTAAATAGATATTGTTGATAAGTGCACAAGGTGAGCAGGGTTGTTTTCAAAAGGTGTGGACTTCTCAGACATTACCAGCTTCTTTCTCAGTCAATACAGCACTGTACTTTACCATTAACACTGTTTACCGTTTCCTCATAAATTGTTTCTAATAAAGCATGTTGTTCCTAATCTGGGTTTTAATAAGCTATTAACAGCTATTTGTTGTATCAATGCTTACTTCGGTGAAAGTCACACACACACACACACACACACACACACACACACACACACACACGTATCTTTGTCATTTGTTTGAGTGGTGTGACAGTCAGCCTGTGATGTTTACCCACAGGATAATGCACTGGGCCAGGCGCATCGAGCAGGAGATTGACAGAGTCTTTCAGCACATCACTGGAGCTCAGCAGTTGAAAGGGGTGAGTGTGTAGCTCTCTTTTTCAGTTTCAGAGCTATAGCTAAAACATTAAACAATTACAGTCTGCCTTTTAGAATTCATTTCTTTTGAATGTGTTAATGATATGCAGATATGTGATCAGCCAGTAACACAATGATTTTTTTTCCAGATATAAAATCCCGTCTTGCTGGCACTTTATCTATTATTTGTAGTCATTATCTTGCAAACATGGCTTTATTCCTACAAGAGATGCCTGAATATTCACAGAACCACACACACTGAATAGATGTTGAATATCTAGTATTGTTTATGTAATGTATTTGTTACTAGTGATACAATTCACTTTCATTACTTTGTATTCATATATGTATCTTTAATGGTTTAACCAGGTAATCTGATTCATGTAAGGAAACAAAATGGTCCATGTCTTATGCATAAGTAGAAACTGTGGCCAACGAAGTCTGTGGATTATCCAAAGTAACAATTTATTTGTTTAGAGATGTCTTAGTTACATTTTTAAAAGATAAGGTTCAAGTTTAATGCTGAGAGCACTACAAAAAAATGTGTAAGCAAAAAAGAAGCATGGATAAATGTGTGAAAGATATCTCGAAAGCTTGGCACATAAAAAGGAGTCTTCTTTCAAGAACGACAAAGATAGCAATGATAGATAGAAATTAAAATGAAGATACTTATTTGGCTGTATCTTTGCACTCTACGTGGTTTGGGGGGGGAAATAATTTAGGGCTGAAACAATCAGATTAGTCATTAGATCAATAGATGAATCTGCAACTATTTTTAGTATCAATCTATTGTTTAAGGATTCTTTCAAAATCAAAACGCCAAGCAAAATTGCTTATTTATTGATAACTAAACTGCAGTCCTTAATGGTGTAATCTAAAAAGGACCTTTGTGGAACAATTGACCAAGTTCATGAACTGTCCTCTGGTATTTCAGACCTGTCAAATGTATGGCAAATACTATTACTCAAATCTCCTATTTCACCTGATTTCTCACAGTGATCTGAGTAATTGAAGTTGTCATGATGGGAATACAATACAGCTACTTCACACCATGCTGTAACAGATGGCTGGACATAAGGAGTTGTCCCTGAGAGGCTGAAAGCTATAAAACAGGACCAAAGATCATCTGCAGAGAGCCCTGCTCTGAGGAGATGTGTGGAGGCGTTCCCTCAGCAGAGCAGCGGCACGTGTCTCTCTGTTGTGTCACAGCAGAGCAGATGGTCAGCCTGCAGCCTGCAGTAATGCCTCGATGTGAGACACCCTTGTTCAGTCAGTCCTCATTAATCCCCTCATCCTCCTGAAAGGCTCTGGATCTGTTAATGAATTTTTTCGCCTCTGCCCAGAACTCGATTCAATCTTCTTCGGTCAAGGAAACGCTTATAATTTAAACCAAACGTCCTTTTCAATTCTTCAACCAATATAAAGCCACAATTTTCCTTTGCAGATATTCTTGATGCCATCTGTGATACAGCCCTGCTCTAAATCAGGATTTTATTTTTCCAGACTGCTTTGTTGCAGTTTGGCAGGACTGCTTTTCTGTGAAATACAATTAGTTTTGGCCTTTTTTTGATTAAAGAAAGCCTGAAAACATGATTATCTGGAGGACAGGGCCATTCTATTTTTTAAGGCACAATAGTATTCATAATGTTGCTTTATGGATTGAATTTAAGTGTAATGGGGTTATTGTGATAGTATGGACTCCTTATTTCTGGCTGGTTTGCTAAAGGTTTTATCTGAGTCATCTTCATCAGTATATCTTGATTCTGAATACATTCTTCAGAGGACCTAGTTATTATAATCAGCAGCCAGTTCACAGATACACGCTGTTCTTTACTGCATGTTCCCATCTGTGTGGTTTGAGCCAATAAAGCAACTGGTCAGTAACAACTTGAGGGATATTTTGAAGTTTATTTGGTAAGGTCGTTTATATGTACAGTAGAGGGCTGTCATACTCAAGATATGCAGGTTTGCTTTAAATCAATATCACTTTCCGTCTGTTGTCATTTTCTCACAAGGAACTGTGTCTGATGGCCCTAAATCTGCTGGACAGCAAGCTTATAGCTAAGTAGTACTGTAGTCACTTTGTTTACCTTCATATCTGAAGGTAATGGACATTTTCACCTTCCAGTCACAGTGGTGTGTAGTAGTATACAGCTGAAGACACCGTTTTTATACTATAGAAAAATGTAGGGCTCTGGGCTGACTGTACATGAACTCAATACCTTACACTGTCTGTTTGCTGCTGTAAACAGTGTTTTTGAAGTTAGATATTGCAGGCAAAACCAAGCATATCATAAAATGTGTAATTCTTTTTTGGAGAGGTCTGTATTTTTGCAGCCACCAGTAAAATAGATGAAAGTTCCTCCCTGTGCTCCTGTTAGTTCCTGAACAGACGTGTTCAGCATGTGCAAACAGGCAGTAATTAATGCCAAGAGGTACCGACATTTTCTACACCAAACTTTCTCTCAAAGTAGAATTTGAAAGAAAACAGTTACTCAGAAAATTGCTCTTGTTGTTCATGCTGCTTCATGCTGTTATTGCCAGATGCCTCCTGATGACCCATAAAGAAAACTGGTGTAATAAATCATTAGAAATACTTACTTTTACTGCAATAATGTTGAAAGACCACATTTCACACGATAACTGTGACGTGTTTCCACTAAAGGTCTGATTTAACTTCAGTTGCCCTGAAGAGGAGCATTAAGAGCAGAATCTTGATGAATAAGTCAACTTTACATGTAGGTCAAAGTCAGAACGTCAAGTAAAGGGCAAGCAGTTATTTTACATTACTTACAGTAAAATAGACTTTTGTGGTGTGTTGTAGTAAGACAACTTACTCACTATTTGGAAATATGTGTCATGTTTGTGGTAAGATAGGAACATAAAATAAAGATCAATCTTTACCTTAACTAAAATGTATTATTGGCAGAGTGAAAAAAATAGATCTAAAGGTTTTTTCCATCAACTTCTCACTAACTTTTTGAATTTTTTTGAATGTGTCTGTGTTTGGCCAAAGTTAACATTTTTAAATGTCTATCATTTCACACCAACTTCTATTAAATGTAAATTATTTTAAGCAATAATACTGAAAAACAAGAACAGGATGCTGGACGCTGGAACTGATGTCTCACAATACTGAAGGTGTATTGACATCTTGGCCAATCGGAACAAACAATGTCATTAAACACAACACAGAGAAGTGTTCGCGATGTAAGCCACGGTCAGTTCTGGCGAATTCTCCTTCCTTCTGCATATTTTTCCAACTCAACGGGTTGTAATCATATTTGAGAAGAGATAATGGAGGATGTCATGGAAAACTGGTCCTGTAGCCTGAGGGCGATACAGGAAGTATTATCTCTGGACACAGGAATACGCCAGGCTCCAATCGATCAGCAGGGAATCTGTCTACAAAGTAGAGACACACAATGATTCTGATTGGATGCTAAAATATAATCAAAGACTAGTTCATTATTCTCTAACAGCATAGGATAAAATGTTGTGTACAGTTGATGCGTTCTTTTATGTAAACAAATATTTAATGACTAATTGAATGAATGCAACGATGGTCATTTTGGTATGAAATTCCAGTATTGTGATTTATCTGTGAAAACTTCCTTCAAAGACAACAGACACTATTTGTGACTAGATCACATGAAAGGATCCATATTTAGATTTGGATTGAACAGACAAACCCGACATGTGACTGCTCCCCTGCGTCCTCAGTGTTTGGATATAAAAAGGATTTGCTTTTGCAAATTCATGAGCTGTGAATTATAATTATTATCAGGGTTGTTCTGAGATGCTGGGGCTTCGATATTCTCCTCATCCGTTTACTTAACTGTTTGATTCTTTAGTTATCAAAAAAAACAGTACAAAATACAGACTTGAACATTATTATTTTAGCTGGAACTGATGTCTCACAATACTGAAGGTTTATTGACAGCTTGACCGAGGGAACAAACAATGTCATTACATCGAAATTAGCATTTTCAGGGAACTCATCACAGATACAGCCCATAACACTCCGACTAATCGATTGACTGTTCAGCTGTTACTGCAGTTTTTAACTTTAGTTTTTTTAATTCAACAGATATACAATGAAGAAAGGCGACGGTTTAGTCTGGTGAAGAATCAGCCTCGGAGGATTGTGGAGAAGGTGGCCTCAGATATAGAGAAACTCCTGGCTAAGAAGCGCAAAGCACTTGTTGTAAGTAAATGTTTCTGTCGTTGTCATTCTACTTTTTTTTCCTGACAAATATGAAACGTATTGTTTATGCAATTGTAACTATTTAATCCTATAATTATTCTAATTGTTTTAACTGTAAATGTTTGTTTGTATTTTCAAATTAAGTTATCCAGTTTAATCTTCAGTCTTCCTCCCCCTTGGATTACAAATGTAATATCAGACATGTCCTCCTCCTCTAATGTGAGCGTTTCTCTGTGTTCAACATGTAGAGGTTAGCCAGTGAAGCAGAGCGGCTCCAGCGAGAGCATATATGGCAGGATGGAATCAAGGTAAAACCTTAAATAACATTATGTTTGTTGCATTATTGAGAGCGTTTGATGTTGCTTCCTCTCATGTATTCAAACCCCAAAACTTGTGTTTGTCTGTTAAGTTTTTGGGACATTATGCGTTCAAATGAAACCACTGATGTTAATTCAGAGCAGATGGGTCTGATGTCTTGGAGCGTTGCGGCTCCGAATGGGACGACCTGATAAATAGGAACATTTTCACCAGTCAGCTGGGCAGATCCCTCAGCGCTCAGCTGGCTGAAACAGACGACCGAGCACTCAGCCGTGCGTTTCCCTTGAGTCCTGAACACATCACTCTTCCACTCGGCCTCCTCCATTTGCCCAGCAAAATGAGATGGGGTTAATGGTTAACCTCATCCTTTCACATGGCCTCTCAAAGCCTCTTCTCTCAGTCGCTGTGTCCCTCTATCCTTTCAAAAGACACTGGTAGTTTTACATAATTGAGCCCAATAATTAAATAATGATGAAGACTTTTTTAAACCTGTTGACCATTTTCCAAAAGATGCCACTTTCTGATTGATTTCCTACCTTATGAGTTTTCGGTATCTACTAGATATACGTATCCAGTATTTATAATATGTATCCATATTTAAATACATTTAAAATCAATTGTAGCTTAAATGTTTTTATGGCTGAGGAAGAATAAAAAGAAACTGTTCTAAAGGTAATGTTTTTTGTTAGTCGGACAATGATCCTCATCAAGAAGAGTTAGCTTAACTGCGTTATGTTTCATTAATAAAGGTCCATCTTATCTTATCTTATCTTATTTGCCCCTCCGTGAGCAAAGGACAGTAGCTATTTCACTTGATAAAAATCACTGACTGAAAAAAGCTGGTTGTTTTCACAGCTGTACTCCTCGTAGGACGGGTCGTATGCAACAAACAGCCGACAAAGAGAGACTTGATTTAAGTTGAAATGTAATATAGGCATATGGTCTCTTCAGAAACTAAGACCAACAGATGTCTGCTGAGTCATAATGTGGCAGTACTGAGCAGAAACAATAGCAAACACTTGGTGGTGACAACTTGCAAAATACAAGGATGTGAGGCTTTTCTCGATTTTTATAACATTGTAAACAAACATTTTTTATATAAGCGGCTTTGAAGTGAGACCTTTATTCTACATTCATATATTTTGACTGAAACTATTCACATCATAGATTTTCATTGAAAACATGAAAATAACATTTATATTTGAAGCTAATGAGAGATTTATAAGGAAAATAGAAGAGAATCTGCAAAAAAAAATACAGTTTTATAGGGTTAATCTTTACTGAAGTTTAATTATAATCAATCAGAACAATCTTTAGTTGTAACTCCTCTTTGTGTATAGGGGAGCCCTGACCTGTTTGCGTATATACTGAGTGACTACTAGCCCTTGTGTTCTTCATGTTTGCCAACATTACAGCCTCCTCAAATCTGCATATCTGCATCTTTCCTCCTAGGAGCTGGACATGGCTTACTATGACTCCAAGGCAGAGATGGATTATGTGAGTAGAAGACAAACACACAGCATTTTGGAGATTATTTGATAAATCGAAGATAAAACATTTCCTATTCAAACAAATAATAAAATAATTAATAGTAGTAAATAATAAGTAGTTTTAATGTTAATGCTGATGATAGAAGATTATCTGACATGTATGTTTCCTCCTGTTCTCAAAGTACTCCATGGAAGGAGAAGGAGAGGTGGAAAACCCCTCGCACATCAAGCTGGAGTTTGTCTACGATCCAAATTTCAAAAACGATGTCAACTATTCCTACACAGCTGTTCAGATTCCTACAGATATTTATAAAGGAGGCAAGTGAAGTTATGACTATTTAATTAATTGTCCTGCTGCACAGAATGACGCCATGTTCTTGTGATTTAGATTGATGTATTTGACATATTTTATGAGAAGTTAAGAAGTTTAGGGCGAGACACCACAGACAAACACATTGTTATTTTATTCACTGGTCAATTTTGAGATATTGGGCTGTATTGCTTTCATAACATGACTTCTTTCAGAATGGTGGAAAATACTTATTTAGGTGTTTATATTACTACGTAGATTCTTCCTAAATCCATAAGAAAATGCCCCAATGCACATTTATATTTCAGAAAGATGAACCTGGTGTTATCAAATGTTTGTTCAATTCATTTGCACATTTAAAAATCAATTTTCAGAAAACTTGTTAACATGAAATTCAAAATTCATGGTGACATTTATTAATTTATTAGTAACCATTTTCACCTTTAGCGTGTTCCTTTATCTCTCCTCCCATCAGCTCCAGTCATTCTGAATGAGCTGAACTGGACGCAGGCGCTGGAGAAAGTTTTCATGGAGAACAGTCAGGAGGATCCGTCCCTTCTGTGGCAGGCGTTTGGCAGTGCGACGGGCGTCACTCGCTACTACCCAGGTAGCTTTTAATAACCCTTCCTGTGCTTTTTAGTGGACATGATTGTGTTTAATATATCGAACAGTTGGCAAACTCAAATTGATAAGTAGTGTGAGGAAAACCTATTTTCATTTTTTCAGCTTCACCTTGGAAGACCCCCAATAAAATTGACCTTTATGACGTCAGGAGGGGGCCCTGGTACAGTATGCTGCTTTAGACACATTTTCATGATGTTTTATCCCATGTGCAGCAGATTAACATACTGCATACTATCTTCCCTCTGTCACAGGTACATCCAGGGAGCCTCGTCCCCCAAAGATATGGTCATTCTTGTGGATGTGTAAGTATTTCATGAAGTTTTTTGGTTTTAGTAATAAGCTTCCATGTAAATGTAGCATCTAATACCTCCATAAAGCACACGTGTGTTACTTTTATTGCTGCATAACCTGTGAATTTAACAAACCACATAAAGCCTTCCCTTTTTTCTGCATTTTTAAATAATGAATTGTGTTGAAATCCATCTGGCAAGTTTTCCTCAGCCTTCCTTGCAGTTATTTCCAACTCACAAGTGAAGTGAGAAGACCATGTGTGGTGTAACTTCACATAAGAGAGCAGCTTCTTTGTGCTTCTGGTCCCAGCTAAACTAGAGAAAGTCATGTTGTAGTGGAAAAAACGTGCACCTGGCACTGACTCCGCACCAAAACCAGCTGAGAGTGCAGCTCATATTGCTTATCATGTGTAACAACGTAAAGGTCAAGTTAGAGATGATCAAAAGAGTCACGAGCAAAATCTAAATTGTTTGTACATGATGTTTGTAACTGATAAAACCCCACCACAAACAGTTTATTGTGAAATTAACATTACCATTTAAAGGAATAGTAATTTGGTGAAACACGCTCATTTGTTTGGATATATGTATTTCCCCACATTTCAAACTATTGCTTAATACTTAACATGATCAGAGCAATGTTTCCTGTTTCCATGGTGAATCAGGTAGTACAGTGTGTTTGGCAGAGTGTAAGCAAACTCAGGGTCGAGTACAGCAGCCTGTTGTTGTCACTGTAATGTCCCAGTGGTTGTTTCATTGCGGCGGTCATTGGAACTCTCGGAAGGTTAATCCTATTATTGAATTGAATGAGTAAAATCTAAGAGTTGCCCTCAAAAATGACCTTTTGTCAACTCAGTATATCACATGTACAACACCTTAGTCACCAAGGCAGCCATATATTCAGTCACAAATAGGAAACCTCAGCCAAAACCCTGAAAATCACTGCCTCTGTATTTATACAGTACTTATGGACATCAGAGTATAATTACTGAGTAGTGTTTGCTCATATGTTCCCGGGGTGTTTTATACTAGCAATTTCAGCATCACTGCTGAAAATTATGTTTAGTAAAAACAAACACTCTATTAGAAAACGGTACATTAGTGCTTTCCTCTGTGGACTGCGAAGCACAGGAGAAAGAAATCCAAACAAAACAAATGTATCACTGTAGATTAATCAGGGGAAATCATGTTTGTGATTGAACATCTGGAGGAAGCATGTGGAAAGTCTTCGGAAATGCTTTTCCTCCTCACGTATTCTCCATTCATGTGGGGCACAAATTAATCTCCGTAAATACTTGGCACAAAGTGTTAGACAGCGAGATTAGGAAAAAATAATTAGCCAATCTGAAACATTTGCTTTGATGTGTATGTAAAATCATATTCTTAGGTGTGTTTGCTGTAGTCCCATGTTTGTAACTAAGCATTTGATTGGTATGATACTTATATGTTTCCTCAGGAGCGGCAGTGTCAGTGGTCTCACCCTGAAACTCATCAAAGCGTCAGTGGAGGACTTGCTGGACACTTTGTCTGATGATGACTATGTCAACGTGGCCAGGGTAAGAATCTGCTTCACTCACTGACCCTTCATCACTGATTCTCCATCATTTAACATCTCTGTCCCTTGGCTTTGCTCTCCTTGTTTCCTTCAATCTTGACATAAAAAAGCTCAAACTGTGTCTCCTGCTGCGTTTCAGTTTAACGAGAAGGCCGAGGCCGTGGTTCCCTGCTTCAAACATCTTGTCCAGGCTAACGTCCGCAACAAAAAGATCTTCAAAGATGCTGTGTTTCAGATGCAGGCTAAAGGCACCACTGACTACAAGTCTGGATTTCATTTTGCTTTCAACCAGCTGTTAAATGTAAATCATATATTGATTTAGACTAGGAATGATTTCAATACCGACGTCTCCACACTCTGTCTTTCCACTGTTCACTTATTCATCTCCCTTTTTAAATGTACTTTTATAGAAGACAAATGTCCCTCGGGCCAACTGCAATAAAATAATCATGCTGTTTACTGATGGAGGCGAAGACAGGGCTCAGGATGTGTTCATGCAGTACAACTGGCCCAACAAAACGGTTGGTTTCTTCTGATCATAACAACTTTAACTTTCATCAGGCATTTTTTAAATTGTTGTATCTTACTCTGAAGAGTCAAATGTTTTCCTCATTTGTCCTACCAAAGGTTCGAGTATTCACCTTTTCAGTGGGTCAGCACAACTATGACGTCACACCTTTACAGTGGATCGCCTGCACCAATAAGGGTGAGATGAAATTTAACATGAATTATTCATTGTATATTATTTTCACCTTTTTTCTGAAAAACATTTGTACCATAGTTACTTTAACTATTTAAACTTCTCAATGGTCTGCTAACTAGTTTTCACTCACTCACTCAGTTTGAAGGGCATCTTAGTGAATTATATAGTAGTAAACTAAAGACCAGCATTAAACCAAGATTCAATACTATGTTGCTCTTTGTTTTCCTCAGTGAAATATGTTTCATCATATCTTCATTTATGATTTTATTTTAAAGTGGACTCTAAAACATTTTACTATAATGGCTGTGCTCTGCCTTGAGTAAAAAACATCAAAAGTAAATTGAGCGCAAGTATTTTTAGCTGAGCAGATAATCTTTAAATTCATCGCTGCCCACTCAGTCCATCCTTTTAAAGAGATGTCTGCTGTACATTTATTAATCAATGCCGAGACAGAGGAACAAATAAATAAATCACTGAGTCTAAAGTAGAGTGCAGTGCACTGACCTCACTAATGGGCTTCCTCTCAGATCAGTGAGCAGACCACTGTGGTTTCACAGCGCTCACGCAGAGGTCACTTTTGTTCGCGGAGATTTGATTTGCTCTTGGCTGAGAGCTGACATTGATCTTTCAGGAGAACTTGTGTTAGTGAGGATGTTTTAGAAGGATGTTTTTTTGTTTATCTCTTTATGTATTTTTCTACATTTTCTGTTTTATTCTCTGTCAAAGCGTTTTGGGTTTTTTAGAAAAGCGCTATATAAGTGTCATGTATTATTATTATTATTATTATTATCATTATTATTATTATAGTGTCAATAATAATAATAATGATAATAATAATAATACATGACACTTATATAACGCTTTTCTAAAAAACCCAAAACGCTTTGACAGAGAATAAAACAGAAAATGTAGAAAAATACATAAAGAGATAAACAAAAAAATAAGGGGGGGGGGGGGTTTAGTCAGAGGTTGAATGCATTGTTGAACAGGTGGGTTTTGAATGATTTTTTGAATGCGGTGAGGGAGGAAGAGTCCCTGATGGGTTGGGGTAGTGAGTTCCAGAGGGTGGGAGCAGCAACGGAGAAGGCTCTGTCGCCCCAGGACCTGAGGTTGGTCGGGACGGGGGGGACAGGAGGTTGGCAGCAGCAGAGCGGAAGGAGCGGGTGGGAGTGTGTCTGTGGAGGAGGTCAGTCAGGATGGGGCCAGGTTATGGAGGGCTTTTTATGTCGTGAGGAGGATCTTGTAATGAATTCTCTGGGGGATGGGGAGCCAGTGGAGCTTGATGAGGACGGGGGTGATGTGGTCACAGATTTGGGTGTGGGTGAGTAGACGGCGGCAGAGTTCTGGATGTATTGGAGTTTATTGATGATTTTTTAGGGTGAAATCATAGAGGAGGCTGTTGCAGTAGTCCAGACGGGAGGTGATGAAGGCGTGGATGAGGGTTTTTGCAGCAGTGGGGGAGAGGGATGGACGTAGACGGGCGATGTTTTTGAGGTGGAAGAAGGCTGTCTTGGTGGTCTGTTTGATGTATTGGTTGAAGGAGAGGGTTTGGTCAAATATAATGCCTATGTTCCGGATGTGAGGGGAGGTTGGAACTGGGAAACCGTCGATGTTGAGGGTGAAGTTTTGGATGGATGTGCTGAGCTTTTTAGGTCCAATGATGATTATTTCAGATTTATCCCAGTTGAGTTTGAGGAAGTTAAGTTGAAGCCAGGCTTTTATTTCAGTGATGCAGTTTGTCAGGATGGAGTGGGTAGCAGCGGAGATGGACTTGAAGTAGTGGAATTGAAGTCCATAACGGCGGATTAAGTGACCAAGGGGAAGCAGGTAGAGGATGAAGAGGAGGGGGCCGAGAACTGAACCTTGGGGGACACCTTGTGGGAGGTATGATGTGAACCAAGAGAGGGCAGCGCTGGTGATGTTGAAGGTGGTTTCAAGACGGGTGAGGAGGATGGAGTGATTGATGGTGTCGAAGAGTTAACAAGAGTTCACTTTTGTCCTCACAGAACATTAATCCTCGAGGGCAGGCTTTTGTTATTATTCTGATAAAATAGGGTGGATTCAAACTGAGGGAGAACAAGTTGTATCCGAGTGGGGAATGTTCATTTATTGCCTTTTTATGAGTTCAACTAAAACTAAATAGTTTATAATTATATTGTTATATATATCAGATATGTTACCTTAAGCAACACCAGGTTTGCTACCTCCAATAGTGATGAACTTCATACCCAAAGATGATACATGCAATGCATTATGAAAAATGTGGTTTTATGAAATTAATGTTATTTTTGTTTTTTAAAAGGACTAAACCTGGTAATTGCCAGTATACCTTCATTGGATTTCATTGTAGAGCTGAAACTATAAGTCAATAAGGTTAAAGACAATAAGATAAACCTTGATGCCTAGTGAGGGAATCTGCTCTCTTTCTGCAGGAGTGAAGTGGCTGAGTCACTGGTCGAGTAACATCTAGTAAAATCTCGAATGTTTATGAACACCACTCTTTTTTTTCTGATAGCATCGCTCACTCATGCTCTCTTCTCTCTGTTTGTCTTTTTTTCTCTGTTGCTTGCCAGGTTACTATTTTGAGATCCGTTCCATCTGTGCTATAAGGATTAACACCCAGGTGGGTCGTCTAGTGCCTCTGACACAGCTGATCCCCATTCACCGTTTCAAATTCTCCTTGTGGGGCTCACTCTTTTTGAAAAAACATCTACTTCAATTTGTTTTACCCTTCCTTTCTCCCCGTGGCCTGATGTTGTTGGTTGTTTCGGAGCTGCAGTTGGTCACGTATCCCTTTGTTTTTTCAGGAATACCTGGACGTGCTGGGGCGCCCCATGGTTCTGGCAGGCAGCGAAGCCAAGCAGGTTCAGTGGACCAATGTGTATCAGGATGCTTTGGTGAGACTGCAAGACCATGTTGGCTGAATGTGATCAAATATAATAAATGCACCAAACATACAGATTATACACAGTTAGTAAGTAATCTTGCATTTTATGTAATCTGGGTTTTGTCTTTTGATTCTATAGGGTCTTGGCATGGTAGTAACTGGGACTTTGCCTGTGTTTAATCTCACCATGGATGGAAATTCACAGGTAACAAAACAGTTTTTTGTATATGAAAGAAAGTGTTTAATAATGTGGATTTCTGTTCTGTTTAAGCTTGTGGTCACTTTTCAAATGCAGAATGTAGCTATGTTGTATAAGATCATAGATTAGTAAATCCCTACATTTAAAGGACTAATGTTTAAGATTTAGAATGGGTCCATGAGAAGGATCTATATGAACAACATCATAGTGTGATATATGGAAACTTGTGTGTGGAAATCTTCACACACAATCTTCTAATTCAGCAACGCTGGTTCTCGTGAGGACCTTTCAAATTAATCAGATTGATGTTTTTTTGTCTGACCAGAATCAGCTGATTTTAGGTGTCATGGGAGTCGACGTGCATCTTGACGAGATAAAGCGACTTACACCACGGTACAATGTATGTAGATCACATACATGTATTACTCACTTGTACTTGTGATGGAGGCAACAGACAAACACATCACTGTTATTCCTCTCTTTTATCAACAGCTTGGAGCCAATGGATACATATATGCCATCGATCCAAATGGATATCTTCTCCTTCACCCTAATCTTCAGCCAAAGGTGGTCTATATTTTACTTAAAAAATATAAATATTTTACTGTGGTTTGCAGGAAGACATAGTTTATTATGATGCTGGTTAACCTGTTCTATATTTGATGTGAATTTAAATAAATGTGCCTCCTCCCAGCTGGTGAACTTCCTGGAGCCTGTGACGCTGGACTTCCTGGATGCAGAGGTGGAGGACGTTAATAAAGAGGAGGTGAGCACTTAGTGGCAGGTCAAACTGAAATGTCTCAGGCATTTCCTGTTTCTTGTTGTTGCTATCGTTCAAAGTATTACCGGGCAAACAATAACATCTGCTTACAATCTGCCTATCTCAAGGCCCCACTGCACGTGTTTTTGATTTCATGGTTGTGGCTGAAAAAGAAAAGGATTTGTGTTTTAATTTTCTAGATCCGGCGACAAATGATTGATGGAAGACCAGGTGAAATGCAGGTCAAAACTCTTGTCAAGTCGATTGATGAGGCAAGTAAATTATCTTTACTTAATTATATTTAAAAAAAATATCTCGCCTCTTTAGTCACAACATTAAAGAACGTTAACTTACCTGGTTATCTAAAATGTTGGTCATCAGCTGTCTTGCCATCATTGTAAGGAGTGAAGAAACACATACTATTAAAACAACTTCAAAATACTTTAAACACATGTTCTATAAAATAAAGCTGCGTTGTGTTGGGTTTACTGAAATGTCCCTAAATGTCTCCTCTACTGCAGCAGTACATTGATGACGTCTACAGGAGTTACACCTGGACTCCCATCAATGGCACAGATTACAGGTAAGCATTACAATGTTACAATAACAAAATAATAACCAACCAGCTGTGGCCCGATGAAGACTGCACACACAGATGGATTCACTCTCCCTTCCTCTCTCTCTCTGTCTCTTATTCATGCTCTCTCTGTTGGGATGTCGCCACCTGCAGTCTTGGTCTGGTATTACCCACCTACAACGAGTACTTCATCCAGGCAGACCTGAGTGATGTGATGCTGCAGCTCCAGTGTGAGTACAGAAGTGCAGTGTTACTTTTTGTTATTAAATAGTAACACGAAGAAAATATGAAAGCAAAAGGCTGACTGTATACAGATGTATAGTATTATGCAAGTCTGGCATTTATTTTTGATATTATTTGCATCTAATGTTGTTTGTTCCCTGAGGTGAGTTCTGCATAAAACTGCTATGTATCAATCACAGCAACTTTCATGGTCATGCAGCACAATCAAATAATTCTGGTTTAAAGTCTAAGACCCTTTTTATTTTACATATGTCTTTTTTTCTATTTTGTAAACTTACTTCAATTTAATGTGATAACTGTGATTATTTGTTGGTATTTTTGTTAGTTTTTTTAAATAAATGAAATTGTTTTGTTTTGTTTCTGTTACAGATATGCAGTCCCTGCTGCCCAGCTCCTTTGAATCTTCAGGACATGTGTTTCTTGCTCCAAGGTGGCTATCTCACCTTACTCTCTTGATTTCACTCTTTCTCAGTGTGTTGCTGACAGTACAAAAAGTTCTTATTAATTCTCCTTCTCCAGGGAATACTGCAAACGTCTGCATCTTTCTGACAACAACACCCAGTTTTTGCAGAACTTCCTCTCGCTCATGCTGGAAATTTCTCCAGAATCTGATGAGTGTGAGTGTGTTAACAGCATTTAGGTGTTTAAAATATTTGCCACTGCTGCAGAGACACCAAAGAGATAATACACTTGTTTTTCTCTCAGGTGACCAAGGCCTCATCCATAACCTGATTTTGGATTCCAGGATTATCGGGCAGCTGGCCTCTCGTGTTTGGAAGGACAAGGACCTGAATTCGTGAGTCGACTTGCTTTATAAAACATTCTCACACCATCAGAAACAGGAATCTACTATTATGATGTCACCATTATATCAAACAAAATGGCTAAGTAAAAACACATTTCTCAAAGGTATGGCTTCCTGGCTGTATTTGCGTCCACTGATGGAGGAATAACACGTGTTTTTCCCAATATGTGAGTAACACTAATTAACTTACTAAAGCTAGTAAATATACAGTAATCCCACTGATATTCTGTCTATAAACATTTCTCTTAAAACATTTAACGGTTTGTGTTTTTTGTTTGATAGAGCTGCTGAGTTATGGGATGAGGATCCTGAACCATTCAATTCAAACTACTACAGACGGAGCCTCGACAACAAAGGCTACATGTTTAGAGCTCCATCGAGATCCTGTGAGTAACTGAAAACATATCAGACGTACAATCTGTTAAAATCATGTCCAAATAATTTGTTTTTAAATCACATTTTGTTACGACCAGCATTGGACGACCTTGTTGGTGGAGAAAACGGCACGGTTGGAATTCTTGTTAGTTCGGCTGTGGAGGTTAATTTAGGAGGCAAACTGCTCAAACCTTCAGGTAAGAACAATGTTTTTATCTTGCAAACTTGATGTTGCATCCTGTGTCATGTGGGATTCCAAGAAACGTTTTTTATCTAAAATATGTTTAAAGATATTTCAGCTACCTGTACTTCTTCTTCTTCTCACTGAAAAACCTTTCTTGCCCTCCTCTTCCTCTCTTTGCTCTGATCCGGTGGATGTTTTGACTCAGTGGTCGGGGTGAAGCTGGACTTGGAGGCATGGGTGGACAAGTTTAAGATCCTGGCCAGCAACGTGTCGGACAGTCGACAGGGCTCACAGAAGGTACAGCACAGGGCGATAACTTACTAATATGAATCACTTAATTACACTACATATACTGTGACAGAAGTGACATCACTGTCTCAATACACATTTTGTCAAAACAGTGTGGACCATCCAGAAGCTGTGAGATGGACTGTGAAGTGAACACTGATGTAAGAACTTTATCTGTTTTAATCTCACAATAACTCTAAAACTAGCCTGTGCAAGTCTTCGTACTACAGCAAGATACTGTCTCCACTTTTGTTACTATAATTGTATTATTAATTGCAGAGTAATATTGTTATTAAAGAGACCACGTTTCAAAAAGCTAAGGGGTCGGACATTTCCACTTTGATTACTAATTTGTGTTTATTGGGAGTATTTTTGATCTATACTCCAGGTATAAGACACCTTTTTCTTCAAAATGTAGGATAAATTACACCTACAGTATAACCTCGAGATTAATCGAAGCAACATGCATGTGAATAAAAGTGTTTTCTGTAAATGTGTGAACTGTGCTTTGTTGTCTGTAGGACCTCCTATGCTATCTCCTCGATGATGGTGGATTTCTGGTTATGTCCAATCAGAGAGATCACTGGAAAAAGGTCTGTGTTTGTGTAGTGATATGCTTGCTTGTACATATTATACTTACTTTCAGAAGAAATTATGCAATACATATGTATTATTCATTATTGATCTCAACTAAATTACTCTAAAGTCATGTACATTTCCTTACGTTTAAGCAGTTTAGTTTAGTTTTCGAAAAATAAATAAACATGAAGCAAAAGTACTAAGCATAAATACAGTTTATGTGTCACTGTTCCCTCATGCACTTTCTTTTTCCCATTATTTTCTTCCGTTCAGATTGGCCTTTTCTTCGGTGATGTGGACCCTTACTTGATGCACGCTCTCTACAACAACTCAATCTTCAATCGCCGTCAGTCTTTCCACTTCCAGTCTGCATGTGAACCGGTCAACGACAGTCAAACGGGTTCAGCAACGAGGGGCATCTTTGTGGTGAGAGACCAGCTGCAGATTTTAGATCCAGGGCCTTTTTTATTGTTTTGATATATATATATTTGAAAGCTCTTATCTGTAACTACTGTGTGTTTCTGCAGCCGTCCATTGCTGACATCCTTAGCTTGGCCTGGTGGACGTCCACAGTGGCATGGTGAGACTTTATTTACTGTTAACTGACACAATACATGCGAGGTGCCCTGTAAAACAATCTTAACTGTTTGAAGACCTCTGCAAATGGACCCAGGGGGGGTTATTGTTAGCCCAATGTCCCTTTAGCTGTGACAGATTGATGTTTACGGATTGTATTTCATTTTTAATGAAGTGCATTGTGTACACTCTTTCAGGTCTGTGACCCAGCAGCTCCTGTATGGAATGGCATACAACAGCTGGTTCTACCAAGGTGGATGTCTGCATCTTAACACACTATTTTGTTATATCTGCATTGATTATTGGATTGAGGGATTTTTAAGGCTCATTTCAATCGCTTTTTATTTATTTGAATCAAACAAATGGTAAAACTTCACTTTTACAAACATCTAATCAGCAGATAACCTTTGTTGTTTTAAACATGTACTAGGATGAACCCATTAAAAGGGGATTTTGTTAACAACAATGTGCGTTCTTGAACCATGATAACCGTAAACAACAACATTTAAATGCATATGTACTTAACGGTAGCAGTTTTAGCCTCAGTTAAAAAGCCAATTGAGATATAAGAATATAATACACATAATATAAAATGTACAATTTGGATGTATTTGTGTTCTAGATGATCTTCTGGTTGATGGTTTTGAGACAAGGGAAAGCAGCTGTGTGACCATCCAAAGCCAGTTCTACTTTACAAACACCACTAACTCCTACAACGTGCTGCAGGACTGCGGGAACTGCTCCCGGTGGGTTTGTCTGGAGCGTCAGCAGAAAGTGTTTGTGCTCTCATACCTGTACAGTACACTCTGCGGGAAGTCTGATTAATATCCATCACTTCTCTAACAGGCTGTTCCACGCGAAGCGGATAGAAAACACCAACCTCCTCTTTGTGGTCGCGGAGACGCTCCCCTGCAGCTCATGTGAGATAGAGAGACTGACACTGATCAGGACAGAGTGTATCCTTTTCCAGCTGAAAGTGGACATCTTATCCATCTTGTGCTGCTAGTAAGTTCACTGTTACCTCCCTTAACAAAACACTAACAGTTCAGGAGGAGAATCCATGCGAAGTACTGAGAAACGCGCGATATCGTAAAGGCCCAGCATCATGCTTTGACTACAGTGCCTTAGTAAGTATAAAACGCTTTAAGTACGGCATTATCTTTCTTAATTCATAAGTTCTTGATATACAAGTGATGAATCATTTGCTTTGGAAAAAGAACATGTATTGTTGACTTTTCTTGCAGGAAAACGCGTCAGAGTGTGGACGGGGTCATGCACTGCAGTCTTCAATAGGAGTCCTTCTCTTTATCCAGCTTATTCTGCCTCTTTTTCATCTCTGACACATGCACACGCTCTAACTTACATCATTCATCTCTCTGGGTTGAGGCCCGGATCTACTGAAGGTCAGATCAAACAGCAAATGCACAATGATTCTTTTTTGATCTGCAAACGGCACACAGTGCATTTGAGCTAAAAAAAGAAATATGTGGGTCAGCTCTTAGTGTTTTTTGCCTTATTGCTTATGCATTTGTTTGTGTTTCAGGGCTTGAGTGCAAATTATAGAAAGAGAATGTGTTGAGTCTGCATGCTATAGGACAAGCACGTTTAACATTTTCGCACAGGCTCAGCCATTTAAGCAAACACCAAAACATCAGGGACAGGGCGAATAAATGATAACCCAGCAGGGACAAATGTCAGTCTCAATTTTAGGTTGGATTGTGGTGGTCAAATGATGCATTATAAAACAATTCAGTTTGATGTATGTGCTTTGTGTTTAATAACACAGTGGTTGAAAAAATTATTCAGATCTTAAACTTAAGTAAAGTCATGCATTTGAGATTTCACTTATGTAAACGAATGGAATTATTGGTAACAAAATTAACTTAAATTATAAAGTACAATATTTATTTGACAGGATAATGGGTAGCATCAGCATGCATTTCAATGTGGTAGCTTTTTAAGATGGTAGCTCACTACTTTATATACTGTTGGATAGTTTCATCTTCAACAATCATTTATCAATCTTAGTTTTCCATGTTAAATATCACTTATACAGTAGCTACACTCGTCAGATAAATGTAGTGGAGTAAAGGGTACATTTCCCACTCTACAATGCCTGAGGTTTAAAGTATTATAAGGTGCTCTGTGGAGTCTTCTTCCAAACAGAACTGTTTACAATGTATTTATTTTTGACAAACAAAAATGTTGAATGCACTTCCTGCCATTTGAAAAACATATTGATTAACTTTTTGACAAAATGTAACCCCCTTTTTTGTGTCCATGTTTACTTGCTTGCAGCCTTTGTCTTCTCTGCATTTTCTGGCATTTTATAGCATTTGTAGGCGCGTTACTGCCACCTGTGGATCAGTGGAATAGAGTGAAATCATCTGCGAGACTGTTTATAATATTGCTTTACACTAGAAATGAAAAACTCCACAGGGTACCTTTTAGCACAATTGGGAATGGAAGGAAAATCAAAGTTGCACCAAAGTGTACCTGAGTAAAGGTACTTAATGCCTTCTTTAAATACAACGCTGCATACGCCACCACATGCCCTGGGTTTTATACAGGGGAGCTCTGGGATTGGCCAAACACAGCTGTTGGTACAATAACTATGTGAAGAGAGTGTTCTGAGTTTTTCGATCTTTTTATCTAGCTGAAGGCTTAACAGCATTTGTGTTTTTCAGATGGCTCATTAGATGAGGCCAACAAGAACAGTTTGTATGGATTCACAATGTCCATAAAACAGCCGGAAAGGCGTTTACAACTTTACATTGTGCACAGCACACATAAGGCTGCGTTGCTACTGCATTGATGTAAATATATGAACAGAATCTGCTGAGCTCGGCTGCTGCTGCTTCTGGCAAAGTCTGCTTTTCTTTTGGCTTTGTGGAATTCAAAATGAATTATCTGTGCCAGTTTTCATTTGCATGGCCGGTCCTAGTAAATGTCTGCACATAATAGAACTTCCCGCACTTACAGCAGTGTTTTCCATGATAGTAGATCCGGGCCTGAACTGGGAATTCACTTCAGTGTCTTTCAATTCACCTCTGACCTTTGCCAAGACAGTTTCAGTACTATACATTGTTTCATACATGACTCGACTCAGAATGATTTCTCTCTGTCGTCTCTTACATCATTCCAACCAGAAGTATTGTTCCCCCCAAAAGATGTTTTCTCAGAGCACACATATGAGAATTGCCATTATGATGAAAAACACCAGAAGATTTGTGACTTTTCACAAGACATATCAGTGATGAAACATCCGTTCATAAGTTTCATTGATACTGTTGATGATTCAATGATTGTCAAAGGTTGTGATGCTGAACTGCTTCCACCAATACTATCTATGATCTTGTAGTGCTTCCTCTTGATAAGAATAGTAAAAGGGTGTAAAATCTGACAAAAACTGACCAAAATTATGTAAACCGTGATTTTGTTGCAAAAATGTAGTAGTGAGTACTCCCAGCTACTGCATGGTTTAGTGCAATAATGTTGTGATAATCTTTATTAAAGCAGTAATTATCATGACTGACGAATCTTCGGATTTAGATTTTAAGAAATGTACATGCAGTGTTATTTCTGTAGTCTTATAGCACAGAACATGCGCAGACGTCAGTGTGGTGCCGCCATGTTTTTAAGCAGCAGTTGTTTGATGGAAGGGAAGCTCTCTCTTTTTTGTATCTTGTATTGCCACTATTTGTCAAACCTGAATGTATGCACTTAAGTATGCTTCTGTGTGGGGAATGTAGCTTCTGAGCAGCTTTTGGTGTTATCTGTATGTGATGCTTTTTGAACCCATGTTGCGTCTCCCCTTATGTCTCCGTGAAAGTGATGATTTACTGTGGCAAAATATTTTCATTTGTCATGCAAACCTCATCATGGTGGTAAAATATCTTTCAACTTTTTACAAAATGATAAAGCTGTATGACTTATTTGCAATGAAAGGTCTTCTCAGTACTGCATAAATGGAATTATCCCTACTGGGATTCTGAACAAATCGATGTATTTACTATATATATCTCCAGGTTAAAAGCCTATTTTTTCAGGTTAATATTAAGACAAAGAAGAAAAAAAGAATACATAAACATATTTCAGGGCTGAAGTAACCATTTTCCTCATTATCTATTGCTCTGCTCATTTTTTTCTTAATTTATCAACAGATATTTGCATATTGGCACACTATTGACTATTTGGCATTTCACATATCCTGCTGGTATTTAAAACTCAGAATCAAGGCCATCACAAAAAACCTTCCCCCTTTTGGCAGATGAATGTGACTCCTTAGCACATAGTGGTAAAACAGTGGCTCTAGTTGACGGGGGATTTTAATGATATAAATGAATTCTAGTGAAGAAGAATTGACAGTGGTATTTTGTAACCATGTATCACTGTCTTATTTGTGAGGAGTTCTGCATGATCAAATCCTGAAAACATTTCCCTTCAGTGATCAACAAGCCCCTGATGTCTTTTTGTGTTTGGATCATTTGATCTGTTTCAAGAGTTAATGTGAGATATTTTTTAAAAGCTTTTTTGACAAAATATTTGTAAAATGCAGTTTCTCTCAGTCTGCCTGGTGTTCCACCCTGCAGTGCCTTGTGGCACTCATTTTGGATGGCAGAAACATTTGGCTCTGATACGTGTGGACGTTCATCCTGCAGGGCCAAGCGAAAGACACACTTGAATTGAATGGTTGCACAGACCCATCTCTAAATGGACTTTACGGTGAAGGAACACAAAAGATGCTCTTCATGAACTTATGAAGCATTTTAAGTGAGCACAACAGAAGTGTGTCGAGCCTCCCCTCCTGCCTTCTCGTGGACAGATGTTCGTCAAAGGGACGAGAAGGAGCCTGCTTTCTTTCTGCTACGTGTCGTTTATCTTTACACTGTGGTTCAGCCTCGAATCAAAGCACAGACACTGTCCATTTTCATAGATTTACTTTGGCCCATCTGCACACTATATTCTATATTTGAAGCCTGTCAGAAAAATGTACTTTTTCATTAGGACTGACTGAAACGAGTGAATGTTTATGTACAGAAATACCTACTGTTGTGCATCTCTGCTGTACCCGAGCATGGTGGGAACCCGGAGAGGCAGATTCCAGCTCAACACTGTTTGGAGACCTCAGCAAAACACTGCTTTAAAAAAAAAAAATGAACAAAAAAAGCTTTTCTCTGAGACCTGCAGTATTAACTTTAGGTCATATTGCATTATTCAAACAACACTGTTGTGAATTGTGGAAAATACATTTTGTTGAACTCTTTATAGCCTACAATATATGAATACTGTTGAGGTCAGTGTTGTAGTTTGGTTTTGAATTACTGGTATTTATTTGCATGATATTTTTAACAATTTACAGATTTGTGTACATAGTCTGATGGATCATCTACATTCCTGTCCTCATCCAGCTCTCCAGTACTGTGGGGAGAAGTGAAGGATGTTTGGGTTGATGCGGAGGCCTCAGAGCTCTTTGCTGTGGTACCGAATGAAGCTGAACGTTTGACTTCAGTGAAGCCTACAATAACTGTCAGTGTTTGAAATGTAGGTCATTCTCAGAAAGTAGAAGCACAGAGAAGATAATAGTTAAGAGCAACATACTGCCTGATTCAACTTTTGTCATTTATTTAGGAAAAAGTGACGTAAAACCACTAAGGATCATTTATGCATTTAAAGGCTGTATAAGAAACAAATAAGGCAGTGGCATGTTTGGGGACAACCCTTTATTACCTAACTTTGTTTATGAAATAGATTCAAGCGTTGCTTATTTAATTCATTTATATATTATTTGTTCATTTATTTTGGTATTGTGAATAATACTTGTATTGAACAGGAAGGAATTGAATGTGTTAAAAGCTTGCGTGGGCTCACTAAGCCGTTTACAAGAAAATTGCAAAACAGACTAAATATACTGTATGTCCATGTCCTTTATTTACTGAGTATCAAACCATAAGAATGTTAATGTTTTTTGCTGTAACTTTGCTTTTAATTTGCTGGCGTTGTCGTTTACTCGGGACAGTTTCCTCTCTTTGTGCAAGTCTCAAATGCCACCTCATTTTTGTACAGACAATGTGAAGCAGTCAGCAGAAGATAAAGGCTAACTTTGTAAAGATTTTGTCAGTCACATTACAAAATGGATATTTAAATGTTTATATCTTTGGTGATTAAAGCTGTTGATATTTTTCACTTCACCTCTGAATCCTTATTGTTCTTCTCTGATCTATTCTCCACAGAACATAGTTACTCAAAGTGACATGAAATGCATGCACTACATTTTTTTGAATAATATACAATTTAAATTCAGCATAATATTACAATGCTGCTTTGATTTTAATTGACTTGGTCACATGACATAGAAGCTTTGTCTAAATCAGGGGTGTCAAACTCAATTTAATCGCGCGCCACATCAGCATTAGGGCTGCACTCAAAGGGCCGGTTGTAACTTTAAGACTATTTAAAAATACATATATAAATATATATAGAATAGTGTATTATATGACATTATTGCCTCTGCATTGGATTATTATCAGATAGGGTAATCACTTCATAATTAACTACGTCTGAAAGCAGAAGTCTGAGGAAAATGCAAGTCTCTTCAGTGAGAATGTCACAAAATGTTTATAAAGAAAAGCCAAATTCAGGAAAAAAAAGTCAAAATCAAAAAAAAGAGTAACATTTTGAAAAAAAAGTAACTTTTAAAAAAAAGAGTCAAATTCTGAGAAAAAAGGCATATTTAGAAGAAAAAAAGTCTAATTTGAGATGCATTGTGGGACATGTAGTTTATGGGCAACGTGCTTCTGTAAATCATCATGTAATCGTATAATAAACATATAATATTCTTTGCAAGCTCTTGTGGGGCCACAGAAAATGAAGTCACGGTCCGGATTTGGCCCCCGGGCCTTGAGTTTGACACCCCTGGTCTAAATCAACACTTTTCATTAGACAAAATGCTGAATTTTCACCCCAAAAAATGTCATCATTCATAAAAAACAACCTAAAATCCAAATAAAAGAGATGTGGCCTACTTCTCCAGTGTTTTGATACATTGCTGCATCAAAAAGTTGTGCCAAGGTTGTACATCAGTACAAATATAAAAACTATACATTACTCTACACACATGCATACACATTAAATAAAACCAAACAACCATACATAAATGTTAAAGAAATGCCATGAAACAATAAAATACTAAAGGTTATCCATGTTTTGTTATATTGAGTTCGCCTGTTTGTTCTGTGTCAGATTGTTGCTGCCCCCTAACAGTCAGTAGGTATTGTATTGTCATATATATACTGCACTATATGCTAAAGTATGTCATTTAAAATGTCCTTTAAAAATGGCATCGTAAAGAGTGTCATACATTTTTTTTTTATCAAAAACCCATATCTCAGTTTGTTAATATTTACATTTGTCCAACTCTGCCACAAAAAGACAAGTTCAGAATCAGAAATAGTTTATTTGTTTCCATGACACATGTCTATAGGTTTTCAATGCTGTACCCTGTTCTGTGTCACTCCAGGATATTTTGTGCTGGGCGAGCTGCCCTTCCATTATCTAATGCAGAGAGACTGTGTTTCAGCTGTTGAGGATTAAACACGAGTTTAGGGTGGCTTGGCATAGACCAGAAAGGAAATACGAGTGTCAAGCGGTTCGAGTGCATTTTCCCATCACATCAGTCAGTAAAGATATCAAATGCTAAGCTGAGGTCTTCTGGGGAAAGAACAGAGGTCACTGAATTCTTGAACAGACACAAACAGCTCTGGATGAGAGTTGCATTATGCTTTGGCTCCTCTCATCCAGTAAAACAGCATGCCTGCATACCAGCTGCTTTCAGTGTATGGATTAGTCATACCTTCAACCCAGCAGGCATTGTGCCTCGATATGTGGCTTAAAGACAAATTCACTGTCCAATTTAGCCATGATATCAGACCATCAGTGTTTGGCTAAGCAGTAACAATTATATTGTCCTTTTAATGCCTCTTACAACAGGCTGTTCTGTCATAAGCTGAACATCAGAGACAGTGAAGAGGCTTTCAGGAGAGACCAGGTCTGCAGAGAAACATGACTTCCTTTTGGGTAAAACTGCTTTATTTACAATTTATTTAAGCGTATATCTTGTCCAACGTTTTAAAATAGTTTTTTTGTGTATAGTTGAGGGGCTTATAAATACGATTATGTTTACTTTTTTGCATTAAGCTTATTTGTTTTAATGTTGTGAAGCAAGTAATGCCTTCTTCTTTTTTTTAGGATTTGTTTATGATACAATTACTTGAAATACATTGTAGTAATAATGCTAACAAGAGTAGCAGGACTAAAAGCAGGTTCCTTTAATGTTCATTTTCTACCAACATGAATACAGTAATGTTGGTCTCGAAACAGAAGTTAATTTTATACAGAGTTTTTAAGAGAAAAAAGCAATCGCATTAACTGTAATATACTTTGCGTATGATATCTGTGTGTTGTTATTTATGGATAAGAACTCAAATTAAAACAAGTAACTGTACAAACGCGTGCCTCCTATGTGTGCAGTAGAGCGAGACTTCTAACAATGATATAAAGTTGTGTCTGTTTCATGGGAGGAAACAGGTGCAGTATGATGAGGGTGGGAGACAGCTGTTATTTGTCACAATGTTGTTGAAATGGCTCCACAGAGAGTAACACACAACACTACATGGTTGCTTTACTCACAGAAAATATTAGCAACTTGTTTTTAATTTGGATGTATGCTTGTCTTTTACATGTTGCACGTTTGCCTCCCTATGTTTCTGTGAGCTATTAGTGCCACGATAATACTGAATGTGTTGCTGAAGCTTGTTTCCCCTGCTTCACAGGTAAACCTGTCCAGCGGTCGAGGTGAGAGACACCATGATCCATACAGGAGCAGATAATAATAAAGAGGTTTATTTTAAATCCATTACTATTAAGAAGGAATGTAAAATAGAAATAATATGTGTCCAAACTCTAAGCTGTAATTTTCTATCAGTTTGAACTGAGTAAAGCACAATGTAAAGATTAGTTTGCTATTTTGGGAATTATTGGAGTTATTCAAGTTCTTGTTAAGTGTTAAGTCTGCCTGGGAATCACCAAGCTCCCCACAATACGATAGGCTACTATCACGATACTTAACCACGATATGATAGTATTGCGATTCTACGTAATGCTAAGTATTGCGATACGCTATTGCATATCACATGGCTCAAATCGGTTAAAAAATGTATTTGCAATAGTGATGTGTCGGACGCGAACTAGTCGGCTCAAAGAGTCGGCCCTTTTAAGTGAACGACGGGAGCCGGCGTTTTTTTGTTGTTAAGTAATACAAGACAGAATGATATGATGATCTCCGCGCTACGGGTGCTCCGTGCATGCATGCAGTGACATGTGGGATTAGAGCCTGTTGGATGCTGCTGTTTTGAGTATTGCAGTATATTTATTTTCATTATGTTATTTATTTATGATTATTTTTAGGCTCAGCAAAGATTTGTTGTCAGTTTGTATAGGTTTTGCTATCTGCTTTTTTTTTGCGTGGTTCTACAATCAGAGTTACAAGGGTCTGTAAATGCAATGAAAACAATTGGCCACAGCAAATCCTCTATATTAAAAATGTAATTTTTACTTTTGAATACTTCAGTACAAAGAATGTATTGAAAAATGTAAGTGACGTGTACACATATAAATCATTCATTCATCTACATTTGATTGAATTATAAAAGGTACATTTCGCAGATAAACCTATTAACCCTGCCCCCCTTTTTTGTTGTTTGGCAAAGAAAAAACACCATGGAGGTATTGCAACCAGCTGAGAAATACTCAAGGGCATTAGACCAAATTAAACGTTTAACACTTTAGTTTTTATACGAGTTAAGTGAACTTAAAAAGTGGTGGTTGGTGGATTCAGTTATCGTTAGACAGAGCCAGGCAGGAGTGTCTATGTTTCCAGGGCGCTGTCCCCCACCTAACATACTCTTAGCTTGACACATTAACCAGACATGTGTGTGTTTTGTGATGCCACTGTGTGTGTGTGTGGCAAAACCACACACACACAGTGGCATCACAACAATGGACTCCAGTGAACACTATTGCGGGCCGAGCACGCGAGCACACACACACACACACACACACACACACACACACTACAAAGATGTAAAATATTATTTTACCAACAATGTGGAATGTATTACATATTACACAGATTATGCACGGCTGCAGCAGCAATATAATAACCATAAAACAATAATTCAAATACCACAAACATGATATTGACCAGTATGATTATGCACATGATTTAGCATTTTTAGAGAGAAAAAATTCAGAGATACGTGTTTGCGTCATGTCAGTTACTTGTGTTGTTGTGCATCACGTTAAAAGTAGACGACTGAAAACCATAGGCCTACTGTATATAACAAAACGCTTTTTTTCCCACATCTTTTTTATTTTTCTTCCCTGAAGCAAAATAATGTATTATATAGTTTTAAATCATCATTTGAATAATAATATAAAATATAATTTCAGGCACAATGAAATGAATATATATAAAATAAAATTGCAGGCAGGGGACCTCCGCCTGCCTGCCGCTAGGGGGTACTGCAGCGCCCTCAGCACCCCCCTTCCCGCGCCCCTGTCTACAATATTGAGTGAGAGCAGTTCAATGAAAATGCATATTGTATGATTCTCAATGGTCTCAAAGAGGTTGTAGATTATTCTTCAGCATCCTTTCCCTAAAATGGATAGAGAGAATAAATAATCAGTTGCATTCGAGCTATAGGAGACACAATATATTTGTCATGTAACATGTAGCTTAAACTTGCTTCAGCAGCTTACATGTGGATTATTGAACTGTCAACAATATAATAATATTATAACAATATTTCCAATTATGTTGTTTTTCTCTAAGATTTTCTACACAGTGTTGCTGCCTGAGTTTTGTGTTTCACTTACTTTGCCAATCTCCCGACTCTTTGCCCTCAGCTTGTTGACCTGAGACTCTGCGATGTCAGCGCACTCCTGGGATTCCTCCATCTCATGCTGCACCTTCCTGTACCTGGTCAGGTGGGTGTTGGCCTGCTCCTCCTGTGAGGAAATTCAACACGATTCAGTATCCTTCATCCTTGCTAACATACAAAGTGTTGTTGTATTCTTTTGTTTCCAGATGGGAAAGGCGTTAAGCTTTATATGAGATGATGCAGAGTAATTG